ATCGGGTGATCTTTTTTTTTTATCGATCTTGGATGTTTAATGTTGCTTATCGATTTTACTCTAAATGTAATGAAATTTTTTATACTTTCATTTTCATATGGGTACGGGAGAATATAAAGTGAAACAAATACAAAATTTGTTAAAACGTCATCAAATTGTTTATAACGATAGCATGCCATTTTGGTTACGAACTCTAAATGTCACTCCAAATATAGTTAAAACATGTTTTTCATTAATTTTAATGTGGATACGAGGGAACATAAAGTGAAACAAATACAAAATTTATTAAAATGCACTTAACAATTTAAAAAGGCAGCATGCCATTTTGCCATTGATTTTAAATTGGGTGTGAAAAGTGAGAATGAAAGTGCGAATTCATGTTATGGGATTTTGGTTTGAAATTGGATATTTTAGACATTTCAAATGAAGGGTATTTATGACTTTTAATACATGATAATATAGACAAAATGTTATTTTACCAAACATTATTNAATGAAGGGTATTTATGACTTTTAATATATGATAAAATAGACTAAATGTTATTTTACCAAACATTATTAACTATTGGCCTTTGTTTGTAGTAGATTAAAATCAAAGTTTTAGTAGATTTTGATAAAAATTGATTAAGTGTGATTGAAAAGTTGTGGGTCTCATGTGGTTGAGATTAATTATTGACTTTGATTTGAAATTCAATTTTTAATTTGTACAAAACATGTATTGCTTATATAAATCATTTATGAATTGTAATTATTTTATTAGATGATAAGCTTCATTTTTTGTCAGATACGGAGTATTTGAATTTAACAAAATTCTTTGTAGTAATGCAACAAAATTCCTCTTGTAAACTTCCACCAGTAAAATACTTGTAAGGTTATTGATTGTGGTTTATATACATAATTGCAAATCACAATTTTTGTTTTTGTGACTGTGGCCGTGTGCTATTTGTAACTGTGATAATAAGTATGTGTTATTGTGACTTTTGACCCGTTGTTGTGACTTTGACCTGACAATTGATTTTTGAAACTTTTTCACATGTTTCTCATTTTTGAACAGGTATCTTTAAGCCTTTGTAATTATGTATTATTCCCTTATTTTCTTTGTAGTGTGTTGGTTAGTAGATAACTAATATTTAAACATTTTTATATCTTTAATATTGTTCATATTTTGAGGTATTACTTGATCTAAGGGCATTGATCTTTATTTTTTCTCTTTATTTTATTTTTCTACAATCATTATTGTTTTCCCTCACTTTTAATTAATTAGTTGTAGTCAACGTGTGTTGCACGTTATTCTAAAAAATTATTAAGACCCGTACAAATATTATTTTAGATGTTGAGTAAATACTATTAGGCCCTTGTTTGTGGTAGATTAAAATCAAATCAGTTTTTAATTTGTACCAAACACGTATTGCTTATATAAATCATTTATGAATTGTAATTATTTTATTAGATGAGAAGCTTCATTTTTTGGCCGCGGTTTATATCCTTGCAAAACCATGAAAAATGATAATCCAAGACTCACAACAAAAGTATGTGCGAACGAAGATGAAATTTAATTTAAATAAGAGTTAAATCTATATTTTTACTAAGTTATCACTTGAGATTCTCAAATATGCAGACACACGACGGAGCTTACTAAGAACACATAAATTGGCCAGTTATCGTTACTATGAAAATGGACAAGCCTACTTGTAGTTGTACGGTACCTGGTCGTAAAGAGTTTAAATATTAGGGAGTTACTAGATGTACATGATGGTGTACACACGGCTTTACACCCCTCTCACATGGAGGAGGGCCCCCACACACAATAAAATATTCGTGGGCCCCCCTCCATGTGAGGGGTGAAAAGCTGTGTGTACACCTCATGGTGTGCACATAGCATTTTTCTATATATTAAGCCCTTGTTTGATTTACATTACTTCGACATTTATTTTTAACCACACATTTTTACAATAAAATATTTTGCCCGTTAACCCAAAATATTTCTAACTTTTTTAATCACACATTTTCCAAAAACAAACTATTATAAAACTCATTTTAATGAAATAATGGCCATCAAACAGTTGCTAAATGATCACAGTAGATGAAGAAAAGTCTAGCCTGAGGAGAAGAAATTTCCCGGACGTACTCTTAAACTGTCACGAGTTTCATAAAAGTACACAATTACAAGTGCAGTCTACTTATTTTACAAGCTGAGATACCGAGAAGATGAATGAAAACAGACTAGTATAACACAAACAGGAAACATAATTTCTAGTCCTGAACTAAAAACAGAATTCAACAAATAAAAGTTGAAAAAAATAAAAGATGGAGAGTCGTTATTCGTCTGAAGATATATTTTTCTTGTGCTTTCCGCTGCGTAGATTTTTCGACTTCTCACTTTGCACGCTTGGATTGTTCTGCTTACTGACAGATCCCTCTTGAGCACTGCACATTTGAGACTTAAGTCTAAAGCCAAACTTTTTGGAGACATTTCCCCATGTGCTCGGTCCTTTTACTCGACCCAACTTCTCAATCTCTTGCCTCATGTTGGAACACTCTTTTTCAAGCTCGGAAACCCTCATCCTCATGTTATCCATTCCGACTTTCAAGACCTGGTTTTCCCGTGCAGCTGCGGTCCAAACTCCATCGTTCTGGCCTATCAAGCCACTTCTTAACTGTCTTGACCCATCAAGATTGTCCGAGACCAACAAGCAACCAGCAATCGAAGTTCTCAATTGTAGCTGCTCAAAGAAGAGGACTTGGACTATTATTCTCAATGGCAGCCTCTCATTCTGCGCTGCATGGGTACATGCTTCCAAAGATAGTTTTTGGCAGTCCATCAGCCTGCAGAGTTGTTCTCTATCTGACTCTGCCAACCATGGATGAGACTGCAGATACAAAAACAGTAAAAAAGTTCATAATCTATTCAAGGTTAATGGTAAAACGAAAAAAAACTCTCACCTAAACCCCTAGTAAAGTAATGGGAAAATTGCACTGTTGGTCTCCAACCTATTGTCCTAGTAGCAAGTTGGTCCTCAACTTTATAGTTGCACAAAATCAATCTAAATAGCGGGAACCTTACAAATCACCATTAACTCGTCATGTAGCCTACGCATATTTCATTTCCCAACTAACGTTGGTGCCTGGAAATTTGAAGTGACGCATGTTTCCATAAGGACCACGTGACGATTTAATGGAGATTTTGACACATTTTATCATTCAGATCGAGTGTGCAACCATAAAGAAAGGTTGAGGACCAATTTGCTAATCAGATAATAGATCAGATACCGATGCTGGAATTTTCCTAAAGAAATTGATGAGTTTACCTTGAGATAAATGTCTATTGCACGATAAAGACCATCATCCAAGGGTCGTGCATACTCAGGAACAACAGCAGCAAGGGACTGAAACTTGGGGAGCTTCAGATTAACATCTGGGGCAACCTCCGCAAGGTACCCATCAATTAGCTTGGCTACCATCGTGATCGGTGTCAGAGATGGTGATCCCATTAGTTGGGCGTCATCAACTGAACCTGGGGATGCACCGCCAACCACGTGATCCATGACCAAGAAATGGTCAAGAATCCTCTGGACGCAGTCCACATCATATAGAGTCTCCATGGAATAAGAAAAATTAGGCATCAATAGATCCTCAAGAGTTGCCTGATCGAGTTGCATTCCTATCCTCTTCTCTAAGTTCGATATGCAAGAAGGATTTGCTCGAATAATCTTGGCCGTTCTAAGAAGGCCAAATAAAAATTTTGTTGGGACTAGACCCTTCTGAATGGGAAGTAAGTGATCAATCTCTTCAATCAAAAGCTTCTGATCCTCTTCTGACAGTGAGATTCCCGAACCCACTGGTGCAAGACGGTTACTGGATTCACTGGAACCCTGTCTACGGTTTAACCCCGGTATGTACTTTCTCGCATAAAAGTTCAGGGAGCCAGCAATTATTTCCTGTTTTAACCCTCGAGATTCCATGGCAGAAATCAACCTTGTGTATAGGGGTAAACTTAAAGTTGATGCGTCCTCGTACCACCAATCAGAACTTGAATTTTTTGGTCGAGCACCTGTGCTGATTCCATTCCACAACACACTTCCTCCGGGACTCTGCATGGGGCCCCCATGCTCCATGACAGGCCAACCAAATAGATTTGGGTCAGTGCATGCTTTGGCAGCCAAAGAGTCGATAAACTTTTTGGGAAATTGAAGTTCTTCAGCATGAGGGAGAATGTCTTCACAGCTTTGGAGCGCTTTCAAAGAGTCTTTCCAATTTCGCAGAACCACCTGATTCAGAAAGATATCAGTCTGAGACATAAGATTGCCTTCAACATGCTCTTCGGTCATTTCAAGATGCTCGGCTGCACATCGAAGTTGTACCACATTTGCAGCAGTAAGTTCAAGTTTTACCCCATAGCAAAATTTAGCTACAAGTTCAAATGTTTTAGCTCCACCAGGAACGTCAGAGAGTTTAATGATACATCCTTCTTCTCCTTCAGATGCTTCTGCAATCAATCTTTCCATAACTCCACTTCTAGAAAGCAGTGGAAACTACAATAGATAATTGGATTTTAATACAACATATTGAGATGTGAATAAATGTAAATTTCTGCAATCATATATTATATATTACTGCCAGTAATAATTAGAAAATGAAGGTTGGCATTCATAGAACCAGTTGGAAAAGAATTGTTGGTCTTGTAAAATGGTTTCCTTCCTATTATGCCTTCTTATATTATAGTAGAGATTTGCAATCCTACACCTAACGAATGGCAAATAGCTGTCCAAGAATCGAAAAGAGTATAAAATTGAAGATGAAACCTAAGCAATATGAATCAGTAAAATTACATCAACTTTCAAATATTATACCTTGTGAAGATGGAAGGACATCTCCCCAACTTCGACAACTATATCACTCGGTAGACCAGTTGTGCAAAACCTACAGTTAAGAAGAGAACAAGGGCAAGTTTGAGGGACAATTATCATGTTTTGATTAAAGAGTAATTTAGCAAATTCAGAGTAAATAGCATGCCCTCCACACAAAGAATGTTGACGTGGAGAAACAAGAAGCACGAATTTAACTCTTATCGTGTGGATGTCAAAAAATTATGTTCTTCGTGAAACTTGTATGATTTTAAAAAGTAGTGAGCAAAATAGATTTGAAAATATTTCAGGAAATTGGGTTATAGATAAACCTGTATGACAGGTTGATTAGCTAGTTACCCAAAGAAAAATCCATAAAATGATTGATGATTTTGTGAAGCCCCAATAATATTTAGTCACTCTGATAGCGAGTTCGTTACGATTTTACAAAGTTTAAGCCTCCTTGGACTAATGCTAAATCAGAGATTATCGTGAAACGAGAGATATTCCACAGGCTATATAACTGAAATCAAGTGATACAAGTTTTAAATACATATAGTTACTTATAACCTGGGTATCATTTCAGAGAGGAATAGGGTGGCTTCTTAGTTCAGTCTACGCTCTAAAAGCCTGTTTGGTATTGTAGATTAGAGCAATATTATAGCCAAAAATTTTAACTGTTTTTGAAAGTTAAGTGAATCCACCCTAAACAGGCCATAAGGGTTGAGGTCAGAACATTGATCATGATGCAGATGCTGGGACAATGATGACAAAAGAACAATGTGCAAATTAATAAATCTGCCTTTGTGATCAATGAGCTCATTTTCAACCAAAATAAGTAAACAAACAGGCGAAACATTTCGAGCATATGGTATAATCAAAAGTTCAAAAGAATCAACAAAAAAAGTTTAGATCCAAATAGAAAACTGAAGTTGAAGAATCAAGAAACGCACCAGGCCTGCCCTCGCCTCTGGAATGCATCGGTTTTGGATCCTAGTTTCATACAAGCCATATCTGCAAAAATTGAAGAAAACTGTACTTCACCAACACAACTTCAAGAAGAACAGAATCCCTCTATGCTAAAACTCCTCTATTAACAGCAATGCAATTCAATTCTATGCAGATCCAAAATCAAAACCCCAATTCCAAACTTCTCACCAATTTCACTCAGATCTTTGAAACAAAAAACGCTCAAAATGATCCTTTCCCTTATGAAACAAAATCCCGAATACTTCAACTCCAAATCGAAGTACAAAAATTTCTCAGCACATCTGCCATTAATAATTTGTTTTAATGCAACAAATCCTCTTGAAGCTTAGCTCTGTCCCTGAAACCACTCCACCAGCATGCCCATTTGAAACAAAAGACCCAAAATCTCAGTCCAGAGAAAAGCTTGCAGAAACTATGTAATTTACTAATCAGACGCCAAATTTAGGTCAACCACTCCAAAAATAAACACAGCCCAGTTATTCTGACACAAACCACTACTTTCTTTAACCACCAGAAGAATCCAAAATCGAACCCTATGTCTATGTGCCAGATAAGACACGAAAATGAGCCCCCAATAAAGGAAAAAAATGGAGTACAAAATAAGGGAAAACCCAAATTTTTCCTTATTAAATCTTCATTTTCTTTGTATTATAATGCCTCAAACAATCATGATTTGAGCTTGGAAAAACTCAAAATGGGTAATTTATGGCAGCTCTGAAACATTAAAGCCTCTGTCTCCCACATGTGGGGCCTTTTGCTTGAGACATACTCGTTGCTTATAGAGATTCTAATACTTATTATTCATTAATTCCATTGAGTAATTAATTAAGTCATTTATAATCTATCAATTAATTGTGAAACATTGACCTAAAATTTTGATCTTCCATTTATTTCATTTGTACGAGTTAAGATCTTTGAAAGGAGTCCAGCTAGTCCATGTGGACACGCCATTACGTACGCATATTTGAGTGGTAAGTGGAAAATAATAGGAATTTTTTTTCCAAGTCAGAGAAAATGGGTGGAAGAAAAAATTGAATTTTATGCATCTAATAAGGATTTAAAGTTCTAAGATCTGAAAATTATAAAAATTTACAGTCTGTTTGTTTTAGATTAAAATCTGATTTTAATCTAAATTAAAGTTAAACAATTAATATTAAATTATTAATCACATCTTTAATGGGTCCCACAATTTTTGAATCACACATTTCGAAAACGCATATCACAATCTGCTAAAAATTTAATTTTAATCTCACCAAACACCCTATTAATTGAACATGCTTGAAGAGGAGGATGAGCATCTAGATCAAAATAAGAACTTCGTTAAAAAAAAAACTTGACAATTGTGTCTAATTAATTAGCTAATGAGGCAATAGCTTATAAGAAAATCATAAATATCTGGCCACATTCAAATTGAGACACAGTCCAAGTTCCTTTTCACCTAATCGAACAATGCATCATGATAACTCTGAGGGGTTGCTCAATTGGTCAGACCTTGAATTTGCTCTCCAATGGTAATCAGTTCGAGTCTCCTCAGGGCCACTGAGGTGAGTAACCGACCGTAAACTTCATAGCCCCCGTAAAATTAGTAGAGGTGAGCGCAACCTAACCCAAACATCCATGATTATTAAAAAAAAAAAACAATGCATCATAGAGGTAGGAGGTTCCAGATCGTGAACTTCTTCTAGCAAAAGAAGCAATAATGGTGGCATTTGAGAAATAAATATAATAATTTTTTTCTTAACCTACCCTTTAATTTCAACGTGCACACAACCATAATGGACGTCTCCTTACATATCTCATGTTTGATCCTCATTTTTTAAAAAAATTATGTTTTTTCAAATTCATTTTCAATTACACATTCTCTAAATAAAATAATTTTACATTTAGGCCCTTTTTGATTGCCACATTTTCCATGAACACATCTGAAGAAAACGAATTTCATTTTGACTGTTTGATTGCAACATGGAAATGGAAATCGAATTCTAAAATACAATCACTTTAAAGTTTAAATTACATTTTCTTTATTTTCATGGAAAACGAATTCATATGGATTTGACGGGTTTTTATTTTCCAATTAATATGAAATTGAAATTCTTTTTCACCTTTGCCTACCAAACAGACTCTTATATACAAACCTTTTTTCTACTTTTTACCAACACATTCCCCTAAAAAACCACTTTTATAAAATATATTCTCAATAAAAATGGGTCACAAAGACACAAACGCACCCATGGTAACAAGAGACTTTTGATAGGAATAACATAACTTCGAGAGGATAAAACGCCTTTATAGTGTGTGTATACACACGCACGCACGCACGCACACAGACATATATATGATGATTTTTTATGTCGGTCTATAATAGTGAATTTGCCTTTTTTGGGGGAGGGGTGAAATCATTTTATACCTTTTGGGGGAAAAAAAAACAGCCTTCTTGAATTTTTTCTCTTTTTGAAAGATATCATTTTAATTATTTTACCTGTTAATATTTCATGAAATGGACAAATTGTCCCTCTTCTTTGAGTTAAAGAAGGAGAAGGAGAATAGTAAAGGGAGACATCATGTTTGGTGGGAGATTGTAGTAACGAATAGCATCAAAACATAAAGGAGAAAAGGTATATTAATACTTTCTATAAGCACATAATTCACGTCGATTCGATCTCATTGACTTGTCCGAATTAGAGTCTTATTGATCTCTTATAACATTTTAACACAAATTATATTATAATGAATATTTTACGAATTCTAAAATAAAGAAAATGCTATTTTGTAGAAAAATATAAATAAATTCAATTTTTACGATTTTAAACAAACTATTTTTATTTATTTTTATTTTTTTAGAATAACACTTGCAATAATTTGCCCCCACAATTTCTTCTAAGGGCGAACAAGCCATTAAATTCAAATTAATAGAAGTTAAATGCAGAATCT